TAACATTAATAGATGGCAAACTATTAGTGTAATGAAAGTATATACATACTTGAAAGCAAACATTTAATACATTTTTTGCAGGCTTTTTTTCTTTGCTCTTTTGACAATATTATCTAATTCATAAACGCTGTCTAATTTTTTTAAAACTTCACCAAGCTGTGTTCGCTATTCATTAAACAAATATTCAAGCTTAGTCTGATTCCTAGCCAGCTGGTTGAGTTTTGCACAATTATTTTGCATGATACTTAGAACCTTGGTTAAAATACGTGAATCGACAGTAGTTGGAGCTATAAAATAAAAATATAAAGTAAAATAAAATTATAAATAAAAAAAAAAATTTATTTTACAAACTTAAAATTTCTGCTATTTTATTAGGAGTATCTAACGGTATAGATTCGATAATAACTCAAGGCTAAGTTACATTAAATTAAATAATTTAATAATTGATAGAATATTAATAAAAAATATAAATGAAATTAACTTACTTCTTTTGGAATAATAACTTGAGGCTAAATTATAAAAAATTATATAATTTAATAAATGAAAGAATACTAATAAAAAAAAAAATGAAAATAACTTACTTCCTTTTAAAAGCTGATCTTTCTTTTTTTGTTTGGTGCTACAGTTGTTGGTAAAGCTGATGTGAACAATGTTGATACAGATGAAGCTAATGCTGACGAAGCTGATACAGACAAAGCTGATGCAGATGAAGCTATTGCAGCTGAAGCTGATACGGACGTAATTGAGGATGAAGCTACTGTGAACAATGTTGATGTGAACAATGAAGCTGATGTAGACAAAGTTGGTTTGAATAAATTTTACGTTTATTGAATTTTGATATTCTATGTTTATTGGGTTCATTAGGTTCATTGGACTTTGTACCTTGTTTATCTAATAACTGTTTAGGATATTGCAAAGTATTGAAGTTCAAGGCAGTGTCAGAATTTGTTCTTTTTCCTTTTTTTTTGTACATCATATCCTAATCTCAAGCAATAAAGTTATAAAAATAAAGAAAAAATTTCTTTATTTATATAAAATTTATCTTTGAAAATAATATAACTATGTAAACTACATAATCATATTATTCATAAATTAATGACGTATAATAATAAATATATTAACTGATTTATTAATTAATTATATTAGCGTTAGTAATTAAATCAATACAATTAAGAAACTAGATGCAAATTAAATAATAGATTTAAAACTTACTATCACTATAACTAGGAATTTTAAAAATATTTCTTATCGTTCAACATTCTGAAAATAAAGCTAAAGCATAAGCACAAATAGAAATAAATATTTTATTTGTCAGACTATTACTCTACAAAATTTTACCTCTAATTATTTTTTATATAATAACGCAAATCAAAAATCATTTGTAATTACCAATTTTTAATAGTAATTACAAACAATTTTTGATTTGCGTCATTATATAAAAAATGATTAGAGGTAAAATTTTGCAAAGTGCAATAAATAATATGTTGAATCTACCTGTAACTCAATGTAATAATTATACACAATATAGAGTAAATTGAATATCTTTATTTCTATTTTACTATATTGTTATATCACGTGTCATTCATGTTATCTTCATTACAATGTGTATATTTTTTACACTTTAAAGCTAATGAATTTGATTAAAAAAAAAATATATATATATATATTTGAGGTATTCGATAATAGATAATGATCAAAAAAACATTTGTTAAATGGTTTTTTTCAGCAAGATATATATTTTTAGTAGTAAATTTCTTATATACAATTTAATTTCTATAGTTACTTCATGTTCTATATATGATCTGAGCAAAATGTGAAAGGAAAGCTCAATAACAAGCTTATATATTTTGAGTTTACCTCCTGTTAAACCAAAAGCATAAGGAGTCGGATGCAATTTAAGGATGAGCTT